AATTTTCAAGAAAACAAAAAAATAAAACAGGAGAAAGAGAGCATGTTTTTGGTGCTGCAATGTTTTTCCTTGTTAGGCCATGTGTCATTTCCAAGAATATTACTTCTTTGTCGAACAGTTGCTCATAAGAAGATACAAAACGTTTTTTCAGTTTTTTATTTCTTTATTTTTTGTTTGTTTGTAAGTAGGTTTCTTAGTAAGCAGAGTCAAGTTTAGTAAATAAATGTGTAAAAAAATGTTTAAAAAATGTTAATAAGATATTGTCAAAAAAAAAGAAGATGCATGAATGTGGATTCAACTCAAACGAATCTAATTTTCAAGGGAATGACGCGTGGTCTAAATGGAAAACTTTGCACAACAATAGAGAGTTTAATTAAGATTCTCGTTTACGGCAAACGTGAAACGTCAGTTGATTTTAAAAAAATTCTTTAAAATTAGTGAAAAGCAATCACAAAAATCTCCAAGTAGTAGATAAGCAAAAGAATACTTATCCTATTGTCGAGAAGGTTTGCAAAAGGTAAAGTGAAATGTAGGGAAACGATGAAAACGTGTTCACGTTTGCCGTTTGTGGGAAAGAAAACGGGAATCTTAATCTGCCTAATAAATCAGGTGTATTGAACGTCGAAAGGCAATAAGATGAAACAAAAATACAATACTAATAATAATGTTGGTAATTAAGTCACTATGCTAAGATGTAAACGCCAACGCTGGTGAAAATGTCTCAAAATTTAGACACGAAATGTTACTGATTTTCTTATGAAGATAATATACGTACATAAATTCTATCAAAAAATGGTTTGCCTAACTTTGTATTCAAATTGAATTGAGAATTTATTCTCTGGTAATTAAAGATTTGGTCTTCTTATTATTTTTTACTCAGAGAAAGTTAAAGAATTTGTATTTGAAAAGACAATGTAAGGCCGATTTTAGACATGGGTTACCTTTCAAGAAAGCCGCGCGTAAAGTATATTTTTAGCAAAAAAATTAAAAAAAAAACTTAAAATTTTGAAAAAACTGGCAAGAGAACATAAATAAGAGTCATCATCAACTTGCGCGCGTGTGCTCTTTCAGTTTATTGTTTTGTTTTGATCACTACAAACGAAACGGAAAGAGCGCCGCGCACGAGTTGTCGACGCACGGGAGTAGGGTAAGTCGAAATTTAAACTGCATCGCGATAAGGTTACTAAAAATAGCAAGGAATTTACATGGCGCGCGCGTCGTTAAGAAGTTTCCCTCTCTTATTTTTGCTCTCTTGATATTGCGCATGATTTTCTCGTCAATCATTTGTCTATTCTTTTACTGCTTTCGAGCTTATTTATATTATTTTTTGTTGTTGAAGGAACCGCTATTTAATAACCGTTTCTTTCGGCTGACTTTCGCATTCAGTTTGTCGGCGAGACTTTGATTATCATCATCGTTATCGAAATAGTACGTTTTGGAAGAAATTAAAAGCTTTAAAAGTGATAAATATGATAGCTGAAATCATTGCTTTATGTGCCTACTTGATAGAAAACTGCACCGGAATGACTTTGATCGAAGCTTTGGAAGTCAATTCTAAACACCCAGAGTTACAAGAGTCTTTATTGGATTCAGGGCAGTCAAATCCGCTAGACGATTTCACAGCTTCTGATCCTAACGATACTATATTCCGAGAGTTCGATCCTCCGCAATATTTGGAGTCTAGTCCTCAAGCATGGAAACAAAGTCGTCCTAGCTTCATGACGTCCTTGTGGGAGTGCTTCCGAAACGTCCTTGTCATACAAACAATAGCTGGGAGCCTCACTGGTTGCGTAGCTGTGCTTCTAATTTTTCTTGACTTTTCTACTGTAGAATGGTGCTACGATGATACCATACACTGGAATAACATGCCATTGGATGTCCAACGCCTTCGCGTTACGGCAGAATCAATAAAATGTGCTATAGTCCAAATGTGGAGTTTTTGTAGTGTCATACTCATTTTCCCATTCTCCTTGATCAAAGAGCTTCATCTGATAACATTCAACTTATTGGCGTCCTTCATTGATGTAATATACAGGCTTAACTTTCAAATTTATGGCGTTTACAAGATATCTTGGATGTCAATCCCTCTCAACATTCTATACACCATTGTCGTACTCGTCAATAACTATCTTTTAGCACGTCATTTCTGCCCAAATTCTTTGAAGCAGGCTATAAAGTTGAACTTGATTTTTTCATCGCAGTTTCTTCTAGGAATCCCAGTAACTTTTATCTTCGTGTATGAACTATTTTCCCTGTACAACGAGCAAGACAGTCAAATGAAAAAAATCATCTTTACGGGAGCTTTCTGTCCTATCGTCACTGTTGTTCCAAAGATCATTTGTCGCCTGGGCGCACAGAAGTTGAATGGCATCGTCCACCCAGGAGCTTCTCATGTTTTCGTGGTAGTCATGTATGGATGTTCTGCCATAGTGCTTCGGGTATTGCAAGCACAACTTAAAAGTCTTGATCAGTTTACCATTCTTGGACTAGCTCATGCCATCATAGATCTTCTAGAGAGGACTACTATTACGATGAGAGATCATATCTGGGAGCATTTGTATCGCTTGATGCGACGACAGAGACGTAGACAACCAAAGTACCGCAGCCCAAGAAGCAGGCGTTTTATTGCAGATGTGAGCATCCAGATTATGATGCAAGAATCAACTGCGCTGATCACCGCTCTTGGATTCATTGATATTTACCGCTATTTATACAAGGAATACAAACATAATTTTCGCCCTATAGCTCACTTTCTTGAACGGGCAGCTGTTGGTTTATTCATCGATTTGATTTTCAATACAATTTCTCTCTTGATCCAAACTCGTGTCATGAATGTTGCCGTCAATAGAGTTTGGAAGAAGAAATGGCGGCATCATTTTTTAGTCAACGCTCTTCTTGTTTTCATAGCTGTTTGTTATTATAGTGGACATTTATTCGAGGTTGTAAGAAGTAAGTACGAACACAAACACCACCCTCACGTCAACTGCTCTTATCCAAACTTTTGGTAGAAGAAACGATTCGTAATTTCCACTGCAATTTTTTATTACAGCAAGAAGACTTGAAAAGAAAAGTGAAATCTCATATGTGATTAGAACGGAGTAAACACCCTGAGGCTGTTTCAAGGCGGTCATCAAAGCGATCCGTATTTACTTGAATCTATATTCTTATATCAGGGCCCGGTTGTACGAAGCCTGGATAGCGCTATCCGGCGGATAAACCCTTATCCAGTGGATAAGTCGATGCTGTTATCCAATAAATTTATCGAGTGGATAAGATTTATCCGTCGGATAGCGCTGTCCACCCTTCGTACAACCGGGCCCAGAAAAGTAAAATCTTATCAGGATATCATGAAAACTAATTAGTGATTAAGCGAAGTTTAGGTGATGAGATAGCGCAAACAATATATCCATGAGCTATAACAATATGTCTACTGCAAAATACATCTCTAGCTTTTTTTATTTGAGTTAAACCGGCATGGATCATGATACAATGATTACTTCTTTTTTTTCTCTCTCTTATCCGTCAATTTACCAATTTACGAACGGAGCTTCATATATTAGTGATTAATTCAAAATGTTTTATGGTCGTATGTCAATGTCCTATAGCGCAGCGCAACCGTGACGTCATAAAAACGAAGACAAAGGCGAAATTGGGACAAACAAACTTATAAGTTTACTTTCAGCAGATAATTTTCACAGCCGATCGCAGTTGATCTTAGTTTACATGGGTTATTATTGTAACTTTAAGTAAAAATAATAAAA